TGAAGAGTCAAGAGAGAAAAATGAAAAATATTTCTCAATCCATATATATATAGTTATCCTATTGAATAAAATTGAAAGAACTGTGCTACACTTACAGGAGATTTCATAGCAGTGGGGCCCACACCCATAAAATATTGAACAATGCTACAAGTACATTTTTTTTTTTTTACAGAATTTGTACAGAAAAATAGTTGTCTTCTGTAATTGACTATTGTTAAAAACAATTTTTGACAACAGCAAATCATGGGAAGACAAGTGTCTTTTTATACTAATTCTGTTTAGAAAAATCTGTACTTGCAGATTAATTGTAAAATATTCACATGGGGCCCACCCCCATGTGACTGTCTCTGTATAACATCTGTGAAGTTTTCCCAGTACACAAGGCATTTTCCAAGTTTAAATACAATTAATCACATGATTGATATCAGACAAAAATATGATTATTACAAATGGAATTTACCCACCAATCTTTTAAGGCATTACATCATTGTAACGAGGTAACCCTAGCATTGAGACACTAGCCCTAACCCTTGCAGTATCATCTAGAAAGCTGTTGCTGTACTTTTAGGCTTACAATTCAATGTCCTTATCATCCCTTGAAGCTAGTTCTTCATCGTAACGACTCGACTTTTATATCTAAATCGCTAACTTGTGTACTGTCTCTTTAAGAGAGCGGTAGTCCATATCATCTCTCATGACTTTCTGTCGCATCCAACCCATGACCTTTCCTTAAAGTTGAATTTTGTAACGACAGGGCTTTTGTGTTCAAGCCAATAACTTTACGTACTATCCACTTCGAGAGAATTTGTAATGATTGGAGATTTATTCGCGGAAGACATCAAAGTCGAAAATTTGAAAAAAAAAAATTATTAGTAATATAAATTAAGTTAAAATTAATTAATTTTAAGCCAACTACCATTTAGTGGGCAAAAGATGGGAACATCTAAAATGAAAAATATGTTTCACTAGTATTCTAGACCAATTATGATTTTATTGCCATTCTTGAAGAAGAAATAAACAATGCATTGCTTTTGTGGCTCAATTAACCTGTAGTTTTACGTAATAATAGTATGGGTATGTATGTAAATAATCAGTTCCCAACTAATTTTTTTTCTTTTATATGTTGGATAAAAAAACCATTAAATACTGCGCAAAAAATATATGATGGTAACGGAACACTTTTCTAATACTTTCTAGTTTTTACGAAGATAGTAAAAAAAGGAGGGGAACATCGGGCGAGATCTATCTACAGCGAATAGAAATGCCTATCGAAAAGATACTCAAAAGGCTTCTGGATCGAGATCTCATTAGTCGAAGAAGATTATGCCTAAAGACTCCCATGCCTTTCTTGTTTGGACCAACCAACTGGCCATTTCCGACAAGTCTTCTCAATGATTAGTCTTTGGATCTCTAATGTTTTTCATATTGGTGTGGAGAGGGAGTGCCACCACAATCTTTAGACTTGGGTAGTGGTAATTTTTTATAATGAATAAAAAATTTAAGACTAACTTGCAATAAAAATAATAGATAAGAAATTCATGTTGCAATTTTCTCATTCCAATAAATGGTTTCTCTGAACTCAAATATGTTATTTCGAACTCCTTGTCCTTTATCACATCACCTTTGAACGCTACGTATTTTTCGACATCTTAGCACATTACACGTTACAGTCTATTTTCATTTGTTCATAAGATATGATGTAATGAAATATCGAAATTGCATTAAGAAAATATATATATTTAAGAGGATAATAGATTTCGTCTCGACTTCTCAATGACAACACAAAGCGTGGGATTAACTGTGTATTTCCTGTTTCTTTTGTGCTTTGCAAATGAATTTTGTTTTCTTGTGTAATTGTGGCTGTTGGCTACGCTTCCACCGTCCAATTTTGACTCGAAACAAGAAATTCCTATTTCTTTTCTTTTCTTCATAGATTTAGGGTGTGTTTGATTACATTTATTTTCCATGGAAAATATTAGTTTTCCATCCAAATTTTCACTTAGAGTGTTTGATTGCTATTTTTTTTCCATGGAAAACATTTTCCAATTTTTGAAAATATGCCTAATTTTCCTTGTTTTTAAGGAAAATATTTTCCTTGGGTAGAGGTGGTTTTTATTTTCCACAATAGATGGAAAATATTTTATTTTCTAAGTAATATTTTCCATGTTAATCAAACACACTCTTAATGTTTTACTATTCAACGACGTTACTTAAATAAAAAAAATGAATTTTTATTTATGGTTTTTGTGGTTAGGTAAAAATTAAATTTAAAATTTTAATTTAAGTTAAAGTCAAAGTCAAAGTCAACAATAATTTTAACCACTAATTTTATAGGATTCACAATTTTTTATTCACACATTTAATAGACTTTTATTAAAATCTACTAAAAAATTTTAAATTAATTTTCACCAAACAGGTATTAAATTTTAATTTTAAGTAAGTGTGCACTTTGGAAGAAAGGCTAAAGAGTGAAGTGCATTGATTGGTAAAAATGTCAATTAAGTGGAGAGAGTGTTATTATGTTACTTAGAAACTGGTCAACGTGATATTATGGATAATTTTTGGAAGAAAGGCTAAAGAGTGAAGTGCATTGATTGGTAAAAATGTCAATTAAGTGGAGAGAGTGTTATTATGTTACTTAGAAACTGGTCAACGTGAAATTATGGATAATTTTGTGCTTAAAACTATATATTTTATAAAATCGACAATTAATCCTTAACATTTTTACACTTCTAGGAAATTGGTCTTATTCGTCTCTTTCAAACGAAACGAAAAGGTTTCTACTGAAATGCCTCGTATAATAACCAATGACTCAAGTAAGCGATTGTTTCACAAAGCTTTTGATAAAATGGTTTTTTTTAATCAAATTTTAATAAAAGTTTATAAAATATGTATTAAAATCTAATTGATTGATTAAATAATTGCTTAATTAATTAATTATTACACACACAAAAACAAAATATTACCAATCGTGGGTTGATGTTAATCAATATAACAACAAAGGGTTTGGGGGCTAATGGAGTGATTAACATTGAGAGTAAATTGAAATTTAATTATTTAATTGAGATTAAAGTTGAATAATCAAATTGAGATTTTATTGAAAGTTCATTGACCAAAGGTGTTATTAACCCTGGCACATAAACTTCACTAATAACAAAATATTAAAGGCCAGTTTGATGTAAATTTTTTAAGAATAAATTTTGTAAAAATTAGAAAGTAATATTTTTGAAATATGTGAGATTAAGTAGAGAAAACTAACTCAAATATTGGCAATGGCATTTGATAAATTTTACAAGTATAATTGTGTATTAAAACATGTATAACCGAAGCCACATGTCTTAACAAAAAATTCAATTACAATTTGTTATGGATGTGAAAGAAACAAGCTAAACTTGTACATCAACTCAATTCGTCAAAGAAAATCAATTTACAATGAATTAAAAGCTCTGATGAAAAGTGATGGTGTATATACATATATTGGAGCGTTCTTCCTACACATAGATTTGACAAGTATTTTTGACATATAATATTTCACTAGGATCATGGAAAATTTAGTTATAACCACTTGAGATCCATGAGATACTAACTGTTGGATTTGCTTAAATTAAAAGTCACGATTATTTATCAAAAGTACTTTTCAAATCCGTGTGTGTGTGTGTGTGTGTGTGTGTGTGTGTGTGTGTGTGTGTGTGTGTATATATATATATTGCATTTTGTGGCATTTTTAGTAAAAAGTGATATAGCATGTTGTGCCACTTGTTTATTAAAATGTCACACACAATCTAATTTTAATTGAACAATAAATCTTTGATTGAGCTTTTCATTTGTTTATAAGAATTTCTTTTAGATGTTAATTTCTTTCATTTTTGAGCGACAAAATCAATTTTTTAATAATAGTATGTCATTTTTTATTTAAAAAAGTGACATTGAATGTTTGTCACTTTTTTTAGTTTGTCGTATTTTTTATTTTCTTACTTTTCGAGTGTTTGTCACTTTTTTTTATTTATTGCCACTTTTTAATCTGTGTAACTTTTTTAATTTGTTTCTGTGACTTTTTTGAATTTTTGTCACTTTTTTCGATCGTCTTCTGGAAATTTTTATCACTTTTTTTAGTGACATACATCACTTTTTAATAAAAATGAAATTGTATGTCATATTTTTAATATAAAAGTAACACTAAACTTTTAAAAGTGATATTAACTGACAATTTCTAAAAATATATATATAAAATTAAGTAACGTTATGTCACATTTTAATTTTACACAGTATTCTTTACATTCAAAAAAATTTTCATATGATTTTTCGAAAGATCCTTAATTGTAAGGGTATTTTCATAACAAGACGCCCACAATACACAGTTTAGCAAAAAACTTGAAAATGACTATCTGAGCAATTGAAGGGAAAACCCTTTAAATGAACCACGAGAATCAACTACCACAGCCATAAGGTTGATAGCAAAACAAGATGTGGTTAAGTTGATAACTTGAAAATGAACAGTATTGTTACAACTAAAAGATTTTTAATTAAAACTTTTGTCTCACCACACAAGGGGAATAATTTGTCACTTGCGTTCTCTATTGTCCTATGTTCGTACCAATTCGCAACAAAACCTACACAGCTAGCATCCCAACTATCACGAGTATAACCAATTCACCTTGTCTTCGATGGTCAAGAATTGTTGCGTCTACAACCAAGGTTAAGAATTCGAGGAGCGGTATCTTCCATCCCCTGTACCACCCCTCAAGAAAGAAAAAAAATTGGACCTGTGTTCAAACTAATGTTTCCTGCTTCCTCTCTATCTTTAGTCTTGAACAATGAATTTTTCAAATAACAGCCACGTGGGAGCAACAAGTCATACACAGGAATACAGTATAAAAGTTCAAATCCATAAATAGGTCCCAAAATGATGGGCAATCCAAAGAAGGTTTTTTGTACGTTCATCACAAATATTTCTAGATCCCAATGCCAGATATTAATACTAAACATTCCAACACTCAAAATGAGTAGTAAAAAATGAAGCATTTCTTCCATACTGCATCACACAATTTACGTAGTACTGCAAGTCTACACCCTCCAAGAATTAAAACAGAGACTCTTTGAAAGAAGTTGAGATCCAACGTCCGAAATTGGTTGAACAACTTACCGACTAATAATTCATTGAAACATCATTTTACATTAACATCAACTTTTCTTTCAATGCCACTTGAAAGATTAAGCTTGAAAAATCTATTCAACTTTTCAGAATGGACAAGTTTTAAATCCATTGTTTGGCGTGATTCCTGTTGAAATCTATACATATCAAAGACAGGAGCAGAGAATATATCATCAAAATATCTGAGTGAATTTCTCGTGCCCACTTCAAACTAGAGGCCACCAGGCCAATTCTCACAATCCTTGCTCGGCTTCTGGCTCCCTTTATAAAGCTTCTGGCATCATCCTGGTAGACTTCACTGTTTGGATAGCAAGGATATATGGACCAAAAATAAGCATTATCCTAAAATTATATGGTGAGAATGAAAGTAAAAATTGAAGGGCATGAAGAATTGTAGGACAAACTTTGTAATAACAGACCTGTCGGGTGCTTCTTGCTTGCTTACCAGTGTAATTTCTAGTGATGCATATTCACCGAAGCTTTTGAGGTCTTTCTCTTGGCAGAATTTGACAAGATGGTGCAGGAAATCATTGAATTGTTTGGGTTCCTGTTCAAGGAAAAACTCAAAATATTTGACAGCTGTTTCAAAGTAGTCTGCTAAAAGAGTCAACATACTTATATACTACAAGTTCAGAATACAAATTTTTCATGCAAATTTGGGGTAAAAAATAAAAAAATAAGTCACTGGATTTCAGCGATTTGTTTCTCATAGCTAACCGGTTTACATTTCTCATGTCAATTTGGGAAAGGGTTGCTTGAATTTCACAAATTTGTTTTGTTAGCTAACCAACTTACATTTCTTGGATAAGAACCAATATATAGTTGAAATAGTGTGCTTAATCACAAGGATAAAAAATACAGTCCACATATTTCCCTGAATGCAACAGTAATTTGAATCTGGCAGAGCTGCAGAAATTGTCAGAGAATAACACGAGAACTTCATCATTAATAACTCCTAAAACAACACTTCCACTGTTCTTCCTACTATGATGTTGTGCAGTCAACAAGTGATGTAAAATAACATTGAGGAAGGGGGAGGGGCCAACAAGCGCGAATAAATATTCAAGATGGAAAGTTACACGCCAGTAAAGATAAAATAGTGATTATCTAGTCATATATTAAACCAAACAATATGTTTGAATCATCATTTATATGTAGGCTTTTAGTGTCTAGGCAATTTTCTGGGTGTATACAAAGCATGAAAGAAAACTTGCTCTAGAATGCAACCCTTGCAAAGAGCTACTAAACGTTATAGTGCTTTATGGTATGTGTCTCCTTTAAAGGAGATTTTATTTTTCATATCATGAATCGCTTCATTAAACTATTCTGTACTCTCTTTGAGACATCATGGCTTCAAAATCTTGAACAGGATCCAAATCCCCCATTTTCTCAACTTTGACTCTAGAGGTGTATTCAGTGTCTTGCACATCAGTACCTTTGCCAACTCCTTCCTCACTTGATCCAGTTGGTTTCTCTGTTAATAATATTTGAGACAACTTAAGCTACAGAATAAACTGAGTAAGAAAAACCACTACTTCTGTAGAATTTGGTTGCATACAAAAAATAATTATGATGATCAGCCAAAATAACATTCAAATTCCCTTTCAGTTCGAAGCATCTACGAAATTAATCTATAAACAGCTTTATTTTGAGAAATAAGTTCAGGATCAGGCTCTGTTATCTTCCTGAGAGTTTCTTCAGTTGGAGGTACAGCTGCATCTTGTTGCTTAGATTTTACAAGAAGGAAATGATGAAATCGCTCACATGTAGGCCAAACGCAATTATTTTATGAAAAAAGGAAAAAAAATACCAAAGAAAATAATCTGTGAAGCACAAATCAGAAACGTCATTGGTAGAAAATTCTCGTTCACATAGCTAACAAGGCATTGTTTTGTTTTTTCAGAACAGTAGCCTTTCAGGATTCACCGGCACCAAGTTTAAGTGCTTTTGCTGCAAGAATGCGTTGCAGTACAAACAATGCAATGTTTCCAGAAATTCAATGGAAAAATATAAAAAAATAATAAAATTGAAAAATTAAAAAATAATAAAATAATAAAAAAGAGAGAGAGGAAAAAAATATATTAATAATAAGCTTCTGGGACACAGCATAATAACCTTTTTTTCCCAAAGATTTTCCATGAGAGCTCATTATTAAATAAAAAGTACCAATCAAAAGAAACTGATTAGTTGTTTCCCTGTTCAGTTGTCCTATATAAAATACAAAACTGGGACTTTTAAAACCTTCGGGATAAGTGTGGCTTAGTTGCAATTTAAATTGGCACAAAAGCAAACACTCGGTAGGACTACTTACTAAAATGTTATCAGTTAGGAGGTTGAAAAGTGATTCTATTTATTCTAAAGCAAGTTTCCTTCAATTAATGCTTTGGTGATCAAGCAATATTAATGGCTTGAGACACACCAGTATTTAACAAGCAGTGTAGTGATGACTAGAAGAGCTCTTTTAAGGGCAATGCATTTGGCTCTTTAATTTTTCAAGTTTAGTTGTCAAATTAAAATAACATCTTTGCACTAAATCAAGATGTGGTCAAGTTGATAACTGGGAAATGAAAATGCAGTGCCCTTATTTTTACAGCTAGAGGATTTGTCATTAAAACTCAAGTCTTACCAAACAAAGGGATTAGTGTCTCACTTGTGTTCTCTATTGTCCTATGTTCATACAAATTTGCAACAAAGCCTACACAAATAGCATCCCAACTTCCTCTAGTATAACCAATTCACATTGTCATGACTGGTCAAGAATCGTTGTTTCCAAAACCAAAGGCAACGGTTAAAGGACCAATATCCATCATCTCACTAATCCCCTCAAGATAAAAATGTAAGAAAAAGACTTTTAACTATCAAACAAACAATCCACCCTCTCCTAACTATGGTAAGGAGAAATTGAAAAATAATCTCCTTGCAAAACACTGCTTTCTTGTCAGAAAACAATTTGGCCTAACTATTTCAGTGAAGGTCAAGTCCTGCAAAAGTGCACAAAGATAACATAAAAAGATATTGATAACAGAAGTACATACAGATTTGGACTTCACTGAAGAAATATTGCCCATACTGCTCCCTTCTCTACCATGGTAAGGCTCAAAGGCTTAAGTCACAGGATATTCTACAAAAAAAAAAAATAATAATAATAATAGTCAAATGTGTACAAACTATTTCTGATCAGTTACAATACACTAGGAAAACAACATCAAGGCCACACATTTTCAAAAGAATAATATTTTGTAAATCTGATTGTCAAACACAAAATCCAACTAGCATCAACTAAATAACAGGGCATGCCAACCATTGTTCTGAGAGTTTGAAGGCAATAACAAATAAACCAAGATCATCTACTGCTATGGTTAGAAATTTGGACTGCCAGGTTAATACAGAAAGCTTCCAAGAAAAGCCATAAAAAGGTTTGGATACGAAAATTCATATTGACCAACTTCGAATTATCCGTATTCGAAAGAAAAATTGTCTTGAGTCAAATAAAAAAATGAGAAATGCTACCTGTACACTAGAGTTATACACTCTAGTGCACAGCCCCCTCACATTCAAGGGGGCCCACGAATTTTTCAATCAATGTGGGCCCCCTCTCATGTGAAAGGGGTATACACTAGAGTACAAGAAGCATTTTTCTGAAAAAATACTAGCATAAAAGATGCCACTCACAGTGCAGCAATTCAAGAAAACATCATCAAAAAAGATTATGTTAACAGGAACACGAAATTAAAGTAAGCAAAAATAGACAAATAAAAAGAGAGTTTTTCTTCCACCTACCAACCCTGTACCAAAGATACATCTGGATATATTCGAGTCTTTGCAATTCGATACTGCAATAATACAAATCATATAGGAAATGCAGCAGGATACCAACCCAATATATTTGTCACAAAGCATGTGTATTTGGAATCATCAAAATAATGTAGTCCTAACCATTTGTATTCCGACAATTCATAAAAAGGTATAATTTTTCCCTGTACATTAAACATCGAAATTGCTACATTGAAAAAAATACAGGAATCGAGCACAAAAGCTCAAGAGCGTCATATCCATTAATAGGTGCCAAAACGACATTATTAAAAGGAGATTTAGAAGAACATCAAAATAAAAGGCAAAACAGTCCAACAACTACAAAGATGTTATTTTAATTTTACAACTAAATAAAAAAAATAAAATCTACAAATGAATTCTACGTTCAACCAGCGATCTCAGCAAAAGTTGGATTAATATCCAAAATTCTTTTTACTGAATTCAATTTCAGAACTAGTCCACATGGAGAGTAAAAATATAAAGATTTTTTTTAGAAGTTTGATCGAGCAACACATGTTATACCTTAAAAAAAAAAATTCATTTGAAAATGGTGAAGGCCCTGGAGTTGCTTTCGTAATTACAGTTCCTTCCCATCCCATCTCATCCTTCCTTCGCCATTGTCGACTTGTTTGAATCATCCGTTTCCGGTCTCAGCTTCAAATTGATTCATCTTCAAATTGTTTGCAAAATAAAACCCTAAGCTAAATACACGCGACGAATTTACACAAATACCCTTCGGACGCCTTGAATTAAACACCCACCGGACCCGGATATTTCCTCGATAATTAAACAAAACTCCAACGGTAAGTTAAAACTAGCGCTCTAAGTAATTCAAATTCCCGCCTAAACACAACGGATCTTTTCTTGATGCTCTTTTCCCGGTCTTGATTTCTCTCAGTTTCAATTACCTCTCGGTTTCAATTACTCTAGTCTCATCTTGATTTCTCTCTGTTTCAATTCCATTACTCTCATCTCAATCTTGATTTCTCTCCTTCTGATTCTCCTCACTGTAATAATTCACGATCTTAGTCTGAATCTTGAAATATACATACTTCACATACAAAAAAGATCACAATCATGGGGGATGATGATGGTGGATCAGACAATCATTCCAGGCCTCAAAAAAAAAGCTTCAAGAAAGATGAGTTGAAGGCCAAGAAGAAGGCATTCTTGGCAAGAAAAGAATGTATAAAGAAGAAGACAATGGAATTATCTGTTTTGTGTGAAGTCAAGGCTTGTGCTGTGATCTTAGGCCCTGATGGGAAGATAGAAACGTGGCCTGAGAATCGCAGCGATGTACAGGATGTGATCGACTTGTTCAAAAAAGACTGCCTTAATAACAAGAAGCGAAAACATAACAATAATGATCATGGTTGTAAGAAGAAGCAGGTTTTGGGAGGTGATGAAGGGGCTGTAGAAAATTTTCTGAAAAAGGTTGAGAACAAATTAGATCAAGTCAAGAAACGGATAAAGGAGATTAAGACCAAAGATCAAGAAACAGGTTCAGGTACTTTCATGATTATTTTTTTTATTGTGATTGGACTAGCCCTTTTTATTCACGTTTCATTATGTTCTTCCTGGAATTCATATACTGGTCTGCTTCTGTATTTATTCATGGATAGATATGGTTTTGTTGTTTGAATTAATTTTTAATCATGATAACAAACTCTTTTGAAGAAGCTGATTATTCCTTCTCCTATCCAGCGTCTGAATTTGGCAACCCGTTGAGTGGGGGCATTCCTCCTAATGCCTGGCCTCCAAAAAGTTCACAAAATCTGAGCTCATATTTTAATGCTGGCATGCTTGGTTTTGGAAATCAGTTGCCTGGGAATATTATGTCTTCTACTCCAGTAAGAGCATTGTCCATTTATGTTGTTATTACACATTAGGCTGCTTATTTTTCACCACTATTCGAATTTTTCTTAAATCTTATTTAACACAAACTTTCAGGGCTATTTTGGTGGTTTTCCAAGCAATGTTGAAGGTATGCATTTGGGACCTGTGGTTTCTTCTGAACCTATGTCACAATTGGTATGTAAAACAATTAGCTTTTTTTGATTGATTTATATGTCCTGTCTTTAAAACTGAAATATAATATTTTGTTAAATTTAAAACAGGGTTTTCAGTCAGAACAATACTTGCCATGTTCCTTGCAACTACAATCTTCAAATGCAGCATCTTTCTACATGACCCAAAGTTTACATATGCCATACTCTACTGGTCATACTCCTTACAGCATGGGATTTCAACAGAATTGCATTGATAACAGTGATAATTCCTTTTGGACTGAATCGCTCATATTTCAAGAGACATCATCTTCCAATCCAACCATGGAAACACCTTGCTGCTTCGACTATAAAGTTGATGAGATACATGGATTTGAGCAGGCCAGACAAATTCCATTGTCATTTGATCAGTGTGATCCTGGATTTGAACTCGCTGCTGATGAGATGTCATCTCTTAATCAAACCATGGAAACACCTTGCTTATTTGATTATCAAGTTGATGAGATACATGGATTTGAGAAGGCCAGACATATTCCATTGTCGTTTGATCAGTATGGTACTGAATTTGAGCTCTCTACCACTGAAAATGATCGTTCCAATACTAGAGTGGAATGGACAGAGAATCAAATCTGCACAACCCAACCAAGTCCTCAAAGTTCATGTTTTTCAGTCACAAGTATGACACTCCCAGAAGAGGACGAACTTGATGTTCTTCTAGAACTTCAGCAGAATGCACCGACCCTCGACTGCTTCAACCCTGACTTTGGCTTAATGGGCACATTAGGTTTTTCATAATGTAACAGTTCAGTAGTTTATATGCTAGAGATTATCTTTCACAAAGAAAACTCTTCAAAAAAAAACATTCCAAGAAACAGCTATAATCATCTTATGCATTATCAAACAGAAGCTGTTTTTCCCCTGCCTTGGACCATTTTATTAATTTCCATTAGCTTCTGAGTCTTTGGCATGACTTCTTTGAAAGCGTAATGTGAAAAAAATTTCTCCGCCCATTGTGCCAAGCTCGGGGGCTTGTGTTGATCAAGAAATTTCCTGTCCATTTATTTCCTTTGTCGCTTTAAGCCATCCCATGTAGGAACCTAGTGCAATATCAAGGTAACCGATTTTATCTCCACCATAAAAGGGTTTCCCTTTGCTACACTTGATAAAAGCCTCATACAACAAGACCAAACCTTCACAGATTCTCTCAATGATTTTCTTTCTTGCTTCCTCTGTTGATATGCTTCTTTAAGCTCCTAGTATAGTGGAATCCACTGGAATCAATAGTTCAAGTGTGTTAAATAGAATTCATTTTGTAATTAATAAGCCGATATAACAGTGTCTCTTTTTAGCATTGTGTCTACGGATGAGCACGCTAAACTCATCCAATCCTGCCGATGGAGTCATGGATACCTTAGTTCGCCACTTGCTGTGAAATCACTGTAGTTTGTGCCAATTCATTTAGTATAGAGTAGCTTGTGTATTTTTGCAGTTTGGATGTTAACTTCAAACCTATTCTTTATCATTGTAATTTGAATCTTGTTGGGTTCAAGAGTTTTTTGACATGCTAAATTGTAAACACCCAGGTTCCACTTCCACTTCAAAGCAAGAATATACTATATGAATGCAAGGGGTGCCTTGAATAAACATTGTGTCTTAGAGTCCAAAAAAAAAAAAAAGAAAAAGGGAAGACCTAATTGATGTTTTATTTATTTATTTATTTTTTTTTTTTTAAACTCTGTGTGGATTAATAATTAATTAAAAAATAAGTAAGCATTGAGTAACTTTTAAAATTAAGCGAGGAATTAGAAGTAAAAAAGCGGCAAGGCAGTGGCACTCATAGTGCTAGTTGAAGAGCTCAAGCTGTCAGCACTTAAACTTACTGTCGTCTCCAGTAAAGATGATATCAATCCTCCTACGTACGACCACATAATATGCATGTCAAGGATGAGCCTAATACCTATTTAGATATCCATCCTACACAGAAAATTTAGTGGCATCACTGAACATTAATTATAAAATCATTGAAAAATTAAAATTAAACTTGGAAAAATTAATAAGAGATGACCACATAATTGAGAAACATAGTCGATGGTTTGATGAAATCATAACCCGTGGCTTTCTCATATTGATTATTTCTTATTCTTCACAATATTAAAATCTTGAATTATTGATGATGAATAAATTGGTGATGATGTGAATCGGATTTCAAATAGGTGAAAGTGGGGAGAATTTTAAGATTTGAAAATTAAAATAAATAAAAATGAAAGAAAAAATGTTATTGAGAGCCAGAGACCAAACCCCTGATAAAGAATGGAGAGAGATCCACATTAGTTGACTCAACAATCAATTATTTTAATTGGATTGGATCGATTAAATCAAGCAACCTTTTCTTAGGCATGGACTTGGTCCCGGTCGACTAACTTATCTTGGCCCGTTTTCCTTCCACGATATAAGTGTGAGAGTTCATTTCACACTCAAGGTATGTATTCTAATTCTAGCCCAATTTCCTCACCCATCTCTTGTACTCACTTTCTCTCTCCTGGATGTTGATTTGATCATTGAAGTGCAAATAATCATCGAACCCTTTTTCTTAGCTGGTGATCTTTCCACCTAACGGCATATTTCAACGTGTAGGTGATGCCTAGGTGGATGGTGAGATGATCAAAATTCTATTAACCACTCAATCAAACAAATTTTGACGTCAACATAAACTAATTATGGACATTGACATATTATATCACTTGATCTACAACCTGGAGAATTTTGTTACTTGTACTGAGTGATTCTCCCTATACGAGTATCAGATACAATGTTGGCAGCATCTTGTCAAGTTATTTTTCTGTACATACAACAAAGTTCTAAATTAGAAGATAGGACTCAAAGAATCTGGAATTTGATTAAAGATTATGTAAAATTAATCGGTGTTTACCACAATAGATATTGAATTAGGTGATTATGCATTTATAACATGAAATTTTAGTGAACAATGAGGTCAGAATTAGAATTCTTTTTAAAGTTCTGTAGAATTAACATATTATTATGGCAACTACATTCACCAATCCGAAGAAAAAACAGATCTTGTAATTAGAAATTATATAAGTTATGAAAGATTTCAGATTCACTGTTTTTCCGACGACAATGATTTTGTGTTTCATATACTTGTATTCGAGCAGATTTCCACCATTCCATTCAATCAAAAGTTTGAGTACAAGGTTTTGATGTAACCTTCGGACAATGCATGGTATTGACAAAATCGTTCACTCAAGATTCATAGTCGACAAATGTTACACAGATCGTCTACTGTCCATAACACCAAACGCTGTTTACTATATTATTGACTATAATAAATATTGTTCCATGGAAAAACTCTACTCCAGTCACTGGCACCAAAGCATTATAATTTATCAGGAATTTTGTAATCTTGTTCCTCTAAAGATTGTGTGAGAAATGGAGAAGAAGCAGGGCGCCTAGGCGCCATGAGTGGGCACCTAGGCACTGGCCGGTGCAAGAATAGGGCAGAAACTTGTGGGCGCCTAGGCGCCCGATTTAGCCTTTATATAGCTGATTTTTTCCCTTTTGTATAGAACCCGATTTTTTAGAGGAAAAATAGAGAGAGGGCTTGGATAGAATTTATCAAGTAAGAGGTTGTTCTTATTGGGTATAAATTCAAAGTCATTTTTATTTTCTTTGGGATTAACTTAAGGTTTGTTCAAGTAATCCAATCCATTGTTCTTCATTTTTATTGAAAATCATTTCTTCCCCAATTTCTTATCTTTGAAGTGGTTTGGGATTTTTCACATTACAAGTTATCTTTCTTGGGCAATCTTGGGAGTGTTGTATTCCCAACAATTTGGTATCAGAGCATCTTCTTAAATCAGGGTGGTTAAGCTCTGATTTTTGTGGGTTGGCTTGAACTTTATTGTGCACACAAGGTGTTTGTGAAAATTTTCAAGTGAACTTTGTTGGTTTATTTCCGGTAAACAAGTAGATAAATCATGTCTACTAGAGGAACGTGAAGATTGGGAAGTATGAGATAGAGAAATTCAATGGAAGAATGATTTCTCATATTGGAGAATGCAAATGAAAAATTTGTTAATTTCTCAAAAGTTGCACAAGGCATTGGCGGAAAAGGAGAAAAAGCACATAGATATGTTTGACGAGGATTGGGAAGAGCTAGATCTTGAGGCACGAGCGTCTATCATTCTATGCCTTGAAAGAGATGTTGCTTTCTTGGTTGATGGTGAGGAAATGGCGACGAAGTTGGGGACAAAGTTGGAGACGAACTTCATGACGAAGACTCTAACTAATCGGATCTATTTGAAGTCCAAATTGTATACTTGCAAGATGGATGAAGGTACACAAATCCGGGAGTACGTCAACAAGTTTGATAGGTGCATATCGGACTTGAAGGACATTGATGTGAAAGTAGATGATGAGGATCAAGCACTTCTACTACTTCTTTCATTGCCAAAGTCTTACGAGAACCTAGTGCAAACATTGATGCTTGTGGGTGATAAACTTGTGATGGAGGACACTAGAACGTCACTTCTAGCGGATGATCTTCGAAAGATTGCAACTAGTGGCATGTCTACCATTGGTAACAAGGAGCAAGCTCAAGGATTGTTTGTAAGAGGTAGAAGCAATGTGCAACCAAAGGGCAAGGGAGAAAAATCTAGATCGAGTTCTAGACCTCTTGCGGAAAGGTCTTGTTTCAAATGCGATGAGCTTGAGCATTTCAAGACGAATTGTACAAACAAAAGGAGTTGGAAGAACAACAACAACAATGGGAAGGTGCAAGTGAAGCAAGAGGCTAGCTATGCCTCGGAAGGAGGGGAAAGCGATGAGTGCTACACCATCTCTTGTGATGACGAAATCTCCGGTAAGTGGATTCTTGACTCAGGATGCTCTTACCATATGTGTCCAAATAGGAAGTGGTTTACTACTTATAGAAGCACTGATGGTGGAACCGTGTTCATGGGTAATAACCATTCCTGTAAAACTGTGGGGCTCGGTTCAATTAGAATCAAGATGTTTGATGGAGTGGTTAGAACATTGAAGGATGTTAGACATGTTCCTGATTTGCGGAAGAACCTTATCTCTGTTGGTGTTTTAGACTTCAGTGGTTGCAAGATTGTAACATGGAATGGAGTAAAGAAGGTTGTTCGTGGTTCTTTGATTGTGATGAAGGGTATTCGTGAAGGCAATCTCTATGCTCTTCAGGGTACTACTGTTATAGAAGATGTAGCAGTTGGAACAAGTGAAAGTGGTGGAGACCCATGTGAGTGCACTCGACTATGGCATAGGAGACTTGGGCATATGTCTAAAAAGGGGCTAGATCTGCTAGTCAAGAAAGGTTTGTTAAAGAACTTGAAGAAGCTTTGTATGAATTTTTGCGAGCATTGCGTGTACGGTAAAGTACACCGAGTTCAGTTCCAGCTAAGCAAATATAAAAGCAGAGGTATTCTAGACTATGTGCACACGGATGTATAGGGTTCGGCTTCTGTCACTTCCAAAGGCAGTTCCAGGTATTTTGTTACATTTGTTGATGATTATTCTAGATATGCTTGGATTTATTTTTTGAAGCATAAGAATGAGGTATTTGACACTTTCAAGAAGTGGAAAGCAATGGTTGAAAACAGAACAGGAAAGAAATTGAAGACACTGCGATCTGATAACGGTACTGAGTATATAGATGGTGCTTTCAAGGAGTTCTGTGGTAAGGAAGGCATTGCGAGACACTGGACAGTTAGAAATACACCGCAACAGAATGGGATCGCGGAAATACTGAATCGCACATTTCGAGAGAAATCGATGTGTATGCGATCCTATGCTGGTTTGGGCAGAGAATGGTGGGCAGAGTCGGTTGCAAATGCTTGCTACATAATGAACCGGTCTCCACATTCAAGGTTAGATGGAGATGTACCTTACAGGGTATTGACAAGAGAACATGCAGATTATGAGAAACTCAAAATATTCTGATGCATAGCCTACTATCACGTCAACGAGGGAAAGCTTGATGCGAGGGCCAAGAAGGCTATATTCTTGGGGTATGCGGCAGGTGTAAAAGGCTATCGCCTATGGTGTGTAGAGGATTCTAAGTTCATAATCAGCAGAGATGTTACTTTTGATGAGAACTCCGTGATAGCTTCGTTGAAAGCTACAGTGTCCGGTGGTGATGATGTTGAGACTACAAAGTCTCAAGTTGTTGACATAGAATCTAGAGATCAACCTGGTTCTAGGCATGTTCAAGAGGAACATCATGCAGACACTCAAGATGAGAGTGATGATGAGCTTGAACAAGAGGCGGTTCAACAAGAGAATGTACAGGCACAGCAACAACAACAGCTTGCAGATAACTTGGCTTCCTCTAGGCCACGGCGTACTTATAAGCAAGTTCTAAAGTTGGGGTCATACGAGCCTTTGAGGCACTATAGGCAGACAAATTTGGTTGAGTATGCACTCTCGGTGGAGGATGATGAGCCTGCCACTTTCAAGGAAGCTATTTTAAATAACAATAGTGAGAGTTGGTTGGCAGCAATGGAAGAAGAGATGGAATCACGTCACAAGAACCAAACATGGGAGGTTGTCC